GTTGTCACAACTGCGTCTCCCCCCCCCCCCCCCGCGCGCCGCATCCAAAGCGAAATGTAATTAAAAGTCACAACGCGGGATTCTCATTCTGGAGATTTAACAAATGCTTTGAGGAGGTTCTGACATTTATCGTGCAATGCCGGTCTCCACCAGCTGAGAACAGCCAGTCACAAAGATTAATCGTACTTCAAAAGGAGGCACCCCATGAAAAGGAGTCCGACGTCGTCCTCCGAAAACTTCACCAATCTCAAAGCAGATCTAAATTCAGTCACCAAAAATGTTATATTCGCTTTAACATGGTAATGTTGTTTCTTTGTCAACGTCAAGTCATTTTTATTATTGTTAAATCTGACCTCCGTCCTTCCCTTCAGTCTTATATCTGACCTCCGTCCTTCCCTTCAGTCTTCTATCTGACCTCCGTCCTTCCCTTCAGTCTTCTATCTGACCTCCGTCCTTCCCTTCATTCTTATATCTGACCTCCGTCCTTCCCTTCATTCTTATATCCGACCTACGTCCTTCCCTTCAGTCTTAAATCTGACCTCCAGCCTTCCCTTTCATTCTTATATCTGACCTCCGTCCTCCCCTTCACTCTTCTATCTGACCTCCGGCCTCCCCTTCACTCTTCTATCTGACCTCCGGCCTCCCCTTCACTCTTCTATCTGACCTCCGTCCTCCCCTTCACTCTTCTATCTGACCTCCGTCCTCCCCTTCAGTCTTCTATCTGACCTCCGTCCTTCCCTTCAGTCTTCCATCTGACCTCCGTCCTCCCCTTCAGTCTTCTATCTGATCTCTGTCCTTCCCTTCATTCTTCTATCTGACCTCCGTCCTCCCCTTCAATCTTATATCTGACCTCCGTCCTCCCCTTCAGTCTTCTAGCTGACCTCCACGCAAGCAACACAACATAGAGCTAATTTACACAACATCACCTTGCAAATTCATGCTTGGCTTTGCACAACACACCTGCTGGGTGTGTACACACTACAAAGGTGTTTAGATTCCACCCATAGATCATGCTGGGAGGGAACACACTACAGAGGTGTATACATGTTCGTGGTGTGTTTATAAGGTTAGTAAATCAACCCCAAAGCCTCCTTCTGATATCACTATCCAGTCCTAGATTCCATAATTTTGATCCAATTCAGCCCTGAAGAAGCAGAACCTTTGCAGATCCGGAAACGCCTTGGCCTCCCTTTGGCAATTTCTAATTAAATCTTAATCTGGACTTCTATGCTTTATCCTGTATTCATGTTTCCCTAAGGAGTGGACCATCCACAAAACTCCTGGGGCCAACAGAGCTGTCGGTCCACTTTGACATAAAAACTCCCGGCTATATAAAACCCGGCGCTCCTCACACCTTAAGAAATATTGAGCTATTAAAGCCTGACTAATCCTTCACCATTCTATCCAAAACCTTGTTTTGCGGTCAGATATACGCTGCCTGGCCCAAAAAAATGTCACCCCTTGGATTTAGCTCAGCAAATACGTCCGAGCCTTCCAAAGGATAATAGGTCTAGGTTCAGCAATGCGATGCCCCCAAAATATGAGGTCAGCTGCTACCTGAATATACTCATCCACTCGCTTGTTATCTCTGGTCTTGACTATTGAACCTCCCTCCTCATTGGCCGACCTCTACACATGCTCCTCCCCCTTCAGTCTATCATGAATGCAGTTGCTAGACTCATTCACCTAACCAACCACTCAGTGTCTGCAACCCCCCTCTATCAATCCCTACACTGGCTTCCATCCCCCGCCCCCCTCTGCCAATCCCTACACTGGCTTCCAATAGCCCAAAGGATAAAATTCAAAATATTAACAATGACTTACAAAGCCATCCACAACTCCGCCCCCGGCTATAACTCCAACCTTGTCTCAACGTATCACCCTAACTGTCCCCTCCGCTCCTCCCAAGACCTCCTGCTTTCCAGCTCACTCGTCAACTCCTCCCATGCTCGCCTTCAGGACTTCTCTAGAGTCTCTTCCATCCTCTGCAAATCTTTACCCCAACCTGTCCGTCCATCTCCCACCTTGACTGCCTTCAGGCGATCCCTAAAGACTCATCTCTTCAGGGAAGCCGATCCCACCTCAACCTAACGACTGAACAATCACTTTCTCAAACAATTCATCCCCACACAGCTCCCTCCTCATGTATCACTTCCCCCTCCTCTTTTAGATTGTAAGCCCTCAGGGGCGGGGCCCTCCTCACCATCTTGTCTTGAATTGTGTGATTGTACTGTCTTCCTTAAACTGTAAAGCGCTGCACACACTGTTGGCGCTATATAAATCCTGTATAATAATAATAATAATAATAATAATAATAATAATAATAATATACTGAATTTCCAGGTTTTTCCATCAATGGATTTTTTTTCTCCCCTGATTCCAAGGTGGCAATGCCAGTATTCATCGGGCTCAGATTGTGAAGGAGTCACACATGGATTGGCCACCACAGAGTCCAGACCTGAACCCCATTGAGGATCTTTGGGATGTGCTGGAGAAGACTTTACACAGAGGTCCGACTCTCCCATCATCACTACAAGATCTTGGTGAAACATGAATGCAACTCTGGATGCTGTGACATTGTATAAGATTATGGAAAGTATGCCACGGTGAATGCGTGCGGCAATCAAAGCTAAAGACGGTCCAACCAAATATTAGAGTGTGTGACTTTTTTCTCCTTAGGGTAACGGGAGGACACAAACTAGCGTCCTCCCGTCACCCTAGGCTCAGTCCCCCCCCCCCCCCATAGTTCTCCTTTAAGTTAAAAGACATTCCCGTGTTCATCTGTCCCCTCATTGGTCTTGATACGGCCACATACCTGCAGGATGTCTGCTCGGTCTTCAAACAGGACAGCCAAGTACTTGTAGTCGGCATACGCCCAGAACTCGGCTCTGTCGAACCGTCTGAAAGCTCCACACAGCTCCGGAGAATCCCCGCTGACCCAAGACCGGAACTGCTTGACCGTCCCCTCGATGTAATCGCACTGAGTTTCAAACTGCGGCTCTGCGTGGAACAGAAAACAGAAGATTGGAGCCGAGTGAAGTCACTGTGCAGCAGATCGGGAAACGCAATCAATGAGGAAATATAGCTGCCCCATGAGAGGAGAGAAGTACAAGAACCTGCGATCACCTGGACAGAACGTGGGAGGAAATCTGCCCAACAGGAGACCAAGACACCAACAAAAACCAGACATTCCAAATATTCCTCTGCTCATAACAAACAAGGAAAGAGTTTTGGCTGGAGTGAAACTTTAAAAGCAAAGGGAGGCAAACCTCGGCCCCCCAGATGTGGTGCAACTACAAATCCCATTTAGGCATTGCATGGCTTTGACAACCACAGACATGACTACAAGAGACTGATACATGATGGGATTTGCAGTTTCAGCAGATGCAGGGCTGGAGTTTGCCTACCCTGTTTCCCCGAAAATAAGACCTACCCTGAAAATAAGACCTAGTTGTGACCATTTAATAAAGTTTATAATGGCATTTTTAAATAAAACCTTTGCGTTTCCATTACATATCTTATTTTAGACTACGTGATGCCATCACAGGCTCTCTGTGCTTCCCTATGAAGTGCAGGCAGTCCCAAAAACAGCAGGCCGAAGGCAAAATCAGCACACAAGCCAAGGTCAACAGTTAGGGTATTACATATAGCCATGAGGCAAGCCGGGTCAAGTACAAAACAAGAGAATGCAGGTCAGGTCACAGGTCACGGGTCACAGGAGCTGACGACCACCCAGCATCTTCCCTCAGTTGCACTGTGCTTAAATGGGGCTCTTGAAGCCAATGCCTGTGCCGGATGTGCATGCGTATTCACACCCAACGAATGCGCATGGATGTGCACACAGCAGTTATGCATTGGACCGCAGGCTATATCATGCACATGACCAAATCCTTAGACATGGCCATGCATTCGTCCTTCCGGACACCACCCTAGGTAATGCCCATGTGCGATGTTGAGCCTTCATGATTGAAAGAGCTGAAAACCAGAGAACGGGAGGGGAAGGCCAGGGACAGTCAGGCTGGGGAAGATTTTTGTATTTTTAGGCCTGTGGTGAGTGCACAAAATCTAAACACCATAGTGAGCATAAAGAGTGCACTGGGGTGTGTCAAACGGTCAATCTCCCAAAGAGATAGGGCACTTCCCTGACCCTCCCTCCTGGAGAACAAGGCTCCTGACAGGGGCAAGGCACTTGTATCCACCTAGCTCGAAACCAGGTGGACCCATTCCTCATATTCAGCCGAACCTGACCACCAGGTAGTAGGTTGGGGGCTCCCAGCAAAGGAAGTCCCCCAGTTCAGGGGAGGAAGGAAGGGGCACTTGACACCGCGGACTCTGTCTTCCCAGTCCATGACCAGACCAGGAAGCCCCATTCAGGAAGAAATGGGACCCTCCAGATCCCAGACCAAAGGTAGTACTCCCAACCCCCGACTCTTATGTGAGTGGACGCTCAATTCAGTTTCCTTAAACCTACCAGGACCCTTTGGGACCCCCATCATCTCAGCCAAGGTACTCTGCAGCCCGCCATTCTTACCATGAGGACGGAACAGTGGCTCATTTTCCCTCCTGAACATTGTGAGAAGCTCCCAGTGTGCAGTGAAATCAGATTAAGTAATTTCAGTCCAGGAGAGGAGCCGGTACAACTGTGCAAGACAAAAGGCGAGGTCAGATATAAGACTGAAGGGAAGGACGGAGGTCAGATAGAAGACTGAAGGGAAGGACGGAGGTCAGATAGAAGACTGAAGGGAAGGACGGAGGTCAGATA